TTTTATGGATTACATTGAACCGAGTGATAACATTATTACCATAAAAACAATTGGATAAGCCGAATCAACAATGGAAATCAACATGATAATCAGCATATTCAGTAACTGAATACTATGAGGTTGGCTCGATAGAGTGTGGCACAATTGTTTTGATTGTAATTATTTCATTAAAAATATTACTATTTTATTACTGCCACCATTATCGCCGCAAGTGAGGTTTGGGTAGTGATCGGTACTGCAACTTCCAGTAACACTGTCCCCCCTTTTTACTACCCTGAGTTGAGTTTTCACACATGAACTCGAACTACTAATATAATGGTTATGATAATTATCATAAAATTAGAAACGAGAAACATGGTTTTTCATTCATAATTACCATTATTATCAATTTCACAACATTATTCATATTTATTTTGACTCTCTCTCTCTCTTTCTTTCTTTCTTTCTTTCTTTTATTAACTGTCACCATGATGAAAGGAGGAAGAAGACCAGGAAGAAGATGATGAAAAACCATTACGATAACCATATTAAAGTGTATCCTCATCATCTTAATGATAAGGTAATTAAAGTAATAGCAAGTAAACTGAACAGAAAATGGGAAAAGGATGTTTAAACATTATCATTATCATCCCTCTATCAACAGTATGTCACTCATGTAAAAACTCAACCCAACAAGTATATTTATATATAAATGAAACTATTTTTATCACTGGTCAGTATTTAATCTTCATCCCATCGTAATGTTAAACCATCATCCAAATACTGGACATAGAAAATTTTTGCTACCTCATCTTGTTGTATACATAAAATGTATGGAGAAATAAATATTATTACTTCCAGCTAAGTAAAAGTATTTATATCAAGTTAGGTTGATACATTTTATTGACCACACAGGATTGACCAACCAACTTAACAAGCATTTGGTCAGTTGCTTAAACTGTTATCATTTATATCAGTTTTGGTTATATCTTTTTTATCATCTTTGACTTTGTTATCATTATAGCATTTAATGTAACTTCTTACATCATATGATGAAAATGATAGAGATGGTGAATAAAACTGGATACCCTACTCTCTATGTGTCCAGTTGCCTTTCAGTATCAATGAGAAATCCTACTGACCAAAAACTAAGAAAAAAGAATAACAAAAATCATCTGATGTTATTTATTGATCTTAAAATTTAACTTGTAAAAATTTTCACTAAGTTTTAATCGCGGATTCTAATAAACCTCTCGAATTTTCAATTTGGAGCTTTCTTACTCCATCTTGAATCAGTTTTCTTCATTAGTTATCATGAGGCTCATGTTATGAGTCGTGATCATCTCGAGTATGATTAGTATTAATCCTGTTAACGATCACTGATTATTATGATTGTTATGTGTAATTGGAAACAATTTTCTGATTTAATTTCATTTTTTTCCCTCTATTTATTTCACCTTTATGATAATCATTAACATCATCTCTTGATAAATTATCATCTTTATCATTAGTCGTCATAATAATCAAAACTAATCGTATGTTGTTGTTGATAATGATCGTAATCAACAACAACAATCAATACTAATGATGCTTACGAAGTAGATTTTGTTTTTTGTCTTGATTGTCTTTCTCTCTGTATTGATATCGATTGTCCAAATGATTAATGTTAATCAATTGAAACAATTGCTCTGATTTTGCAGTTCTTTAATCATCTCTATTATTATTGTTATCTGAAAGCTAAAGACTATGTTGATTTAACATGATACTATTAGAGGGAATTGGGTAAGTTAATTGAGTATTGAGTAACAATTAAACCATTAATGAATTTACATTGTATAAGAAGACTAAGAATATTGTGTCTATGGAAATCAAATTGTTGAATTAAGATTGAGATTTTGATTTGTTTTCTTGTTTACCTTTTTATAGCTTGGTGATAGCCTGACTGGTGAAAAAAGTGACCGATGGTCAACATTTATCCAATATGATTGATTGTTATATATTGTTGTAATTGGTGTGTGTTGATTATTATTAAAGTTTTCAATCAACCAGCAACAAGACACATTACCGTTAGTTTTGTAATATGTCAATATGATCATTTGATTACAATGTACATGAAGAAAAGGAGGTAAAACTGATGATGGTCATTTTGTTTGTGTGTGTAACTTTCAAGTCAATTTAAGTATTTACAAGGAAAATCAATCAGAGTCTCACCTTTTTCTAATACTCTTATATTATCATCACCATCAGATTTTGACCATTGGTCAAAGGAAAAGAGAAAAGGATTTAGCACATTAATCAAAAATAATGTGTACCCAGAAAGTTGTGGTCATCTTATTGTATTATAAGAAACTGGATTAAGATGGTCAAGATAATAATACTCTCTCTATCTTTCTCTTTCTCTATCTCTGTAAACTTTGTCTTATGTTTTTCATTTTCAATTCTAACCAATTTTATGAATGGACTTGTAAGAGTGATAAAAATTTGATGTATCTTTTTCCTTATATCAGAATTGAAATATTTTCCTCGTATTATAATTGCCGAGAGTTGGTATCGAATTGAATACCTTTCATATTGGTACAATTTACTAACTTTGTTTCATTTTTTCATGATTATCATGATAATACTAGTATTGGATAAGGTTCACCGTTGTAATAATCGTTTTCATTTGTATCTTTTTGAAGCTCTTATATTATTATTATCTTAATCTTTATCGGTTCACAGTTTTCCTGTTGTTCATCGGAATCATCAGCCATTTATCCCAATGAATTAAATGGTTTAGTATTGAAAGTTAAAGGCGATGGGTATTAGATAAAAGGTGGATTACTTCAATCAAGAAGCTAATAGGGATGAGAAAGATAAAGAGAAGATATCGGGAGAGAGAGAGACTATTCTTACAAGAGGTATTCAAGATTCATCTTCGTCTTTATCTTCCTTCTTATCCTTATCCTCTTCCTCTTCCCTTAAATTTATATATAACAATAGTCGAAGGTGGCGACTGAAACATTTTACTGAAATTCTGATGATAATATAAGAGATATGTCTTCATCCTAATGATACCAAATCAATTAGGATTGAGAAATAAAAGAAAGACAAAAAGAAAGACGATAAAGTGATGCAGGGATGATGATGATGATGATAATATAGATGAGAAAGAGGAAGAAGAGTGGGAGTGGGAGTGGATTCTTGTGTGATAGTTTTCATGATTAGGTAAAATAATGTCACAGATAATTTAAGTGAACATCATTTCTATTGCTTTTGTTGTTATTTTAAGGCTAGTAGTTTGCACAATAATCCATCATCAACATCATCCTTATCATCATTATCATGGCTGTAATGAATAAATACACTTGAAGATGTACTTTCATGGGAAACAATTCAGAGAATCAATATGAAGCTCATTGATAATAAAGAGAACAATATTTTCTCTTATTAAAATTACTCAAATCAATTGACCACGGACAACAAATATTGATCACTAATTGTCACAAATAAACAGTTAATTAACCGATAAAATCAGTTGTGTTCATTTGGTGATTATTTTTTGAAATTATTTTGCGTTTTGAAAATGAAAAATGTCATCAAGAGTCTGATGAGGAATCTTGATAACAATTGGCTTGGAATTTGTTATGAATTATCCAAATTATGACCATTAATATTGGAAATTATCAGTTTGATCAGTTGGTTATATTTAAATACAATAAAATGATCTACTTGCATATTATGTAGACTTTAAATATCTTCACGATTGAAATTTGGATCTAATCATTGGACTTGAAACGATAAACCAAAAACCAATATAAACTTTGTAAGGTAAACTTGTCAAGTTTAAATTTCACTTCCTTGTTTTCACCCAACTAACCACACCCTTTGTCTCTTTCTGTGTGATATTACATTTAACTCCTTCCTGAAAACGAGAGTTAAATCAAATCAAATTAAATCTCAATTGTATATGTGTTTTGCTTTGTCACCCATGTGTTTATCAACTGAAAGAAAGCATCACCATGATGATGAGGAAGGAAAAAGAAGGAAAAGAAATGGATGAAAATAAAGATTGGAGAAATGAAATAATTTTCTTTTCTTTTTGTTCTTGCTTTTAAAGTTTCAATTCCTTTGATGTTGTATCAATGAATTCACCATTGATTCGGATGTTTTGATAAAATGTTATCGGGGAAAGAGAGAGAGAGAGATGAGGTGGGAATGGTGATAAAAAGTTTCTTAACAGTTGAAAAGTTGTTCAATGTGATTCCTTTGGTTCATTGGTTAAGGTAAAAGTTTCTGATTGTTCAGATTTCATCATGTTTATTTTCATGTGAATGTTGTACTGATGAAATGAAAGATACTGGAAATGATGTGAAAGATAAACAAAAATTTTAAAATCTCTCTCTTTGTCAGTCCGAAACCATGGAGTCATTTTTTTATTCATTCTGTGATTGTTATTTTCATAGAAATTAAAATTCGAACATGAAAAAGTTCTAACTCTTAAAATCTTTAGAAACTTTTGATGAACTTTGAAAGCCAACTTGTTACATGCTAGTATTTTCCTATTAGTTTGATATTAAAATTTGATGAAAACTCAAAAATCAACTAAAGTTATTTTTTTTCATTACAATCGGAAACTCATAATTTTGAATTACACTTTTACTTTTCATTCATATTAATTGCTTACTAGAGAAGACAAATGATCCCATTGTGGAGATATACTCAAGTCATATTTCTCAAAAGAATTTAAATTTTGAATATTACAATAATAGAGACGATTTTTATATTGAACGAAGCCAACCTAGTGAACCAAAGTCCACTGTTCTAGCATCTCGACCCGATAAATTTACCAGAAAAAGTGGAGAAGCTGTTTCCATCTAGTTTGCTCCATAGGAACTAATGTTCGTCTGCTGGTGACATCTCTTGGCTAGAAAATTAGTTAATTGGTAGTTCGTCAAAATATTTTTTTAATTGTTTCATTTTTCCGATTGAATGAATTTTGTGTTTTGAAAGTAGAAAAATAATAAAATTTGATTGCAAATGTTATGGAGTAAAAGAATCTTGATTATATTGACTTTTACAACAAGAAATCTGTACTTTTATTATCGTAATTAATGATTCAATAAACTTGATTACTATTGATTTATAATAATAATTGTTCAATGGGTTAATTTGGTTCTGGTAAAATGATCAGCCATTCAAATATTAGATGAACAAATTTTAATTGATTATTTATTGAGCATCTAAAGAAATGGAAAGAAAGAGAGAAATAGGAAATTAATTAATTGCTTTGAATCAATGATTCAATTTAATTAACTTACCCGTTCAAAATAAGGTGCACCGGTAATTGATATTTTAACATTGGTCTTCATTGCTTGATAAAGTGATACCTAAATTACAGTCAAAACAAATAAAGGTAAGCAATTAAAATCAGATTACAGTTCGAGCATAAATAATTAACATTGCAAGTTAATTGTTACAATTAAATCTACCCCCGAAACATCGTAGTTAACCAGGAATAGGAACAAATTACCAAATGAAAAACTATTAGAGAAAGATAATCGAGATCGAAGCAAAAAAGTCCGAACTGTAAATTTAAGAACATTTATAATTTTCAACTTTATTTTTCTCTCTCTCTCTCTTCCCCTCTCTACCACTGTCTTTCTTGCTCTCATCCCAAATTTCATCATCTTCATCGAATAACTATTATTTACCAAGCGAAACTATCGATATGTCAATAACAGAGACACATAAAGTTTCAGTTATAATAAAATCGGTTCAATGTTAACTATTAGTATGAGAAAAAAACCAACTCATTCCCATGATATCATGAAGATGAATATCTACCCTTATCCCACCTCATCTCCTTCCTACCTTTTTTTATTTACTTAAACAAATTGATGAAGATAATGTGTAACTGATGATTCTGATTGTGCTTTCTATGATTTCTCATCAACTCAACATGATTATCAAGATTAGATTTCATTGAATTCTGATTCATTTGAAACGATTTCTTTTCAATTTAATTTCAATTCAATACATTCACTGAATGATATTTATCATCCATATACACACTGGAAGTATCTTCTGACAAAAGGACATTGTCGATAAATATTATCTCATGAAAGAGAGAGAGAGAGAGAGAGAGAGATAAAACGAAGTCGAACTTTTTTTCGTCTTTTCTTTTATCATTCACCTTTTTACTAAATGCTGTCAAGTAAATCTGTTAATAGATCATCATGATCATCGTCAAGGGAGGCAAAAAGATGGTATGAATGATGATCATGATGATTTTGGAAAGAATGATGAAAGAAGAGCAGAAGAAAAAGTTCCAAAAAAACTGGATTCACTTCTCCACCAATGGTCAACTCACCTTCTTCCGGTTTGCTTCTATCTGTGATTGCCAATAGAATTCAACAAAAGCGACCAACATAGCGAGCAATAAGCCGCCGATGAGAATATAAAAACATCCCGCCACGTTACCCAAAGTCAACTCACTCTGACTCGATTCCTTTTACAATAATAGTGACAGAGTAACAAAATATCAGAGAGAAAAATCAATCCAAATGATGCGTAAATGCTTACAAACTCATAATAATTCTGATAGTTTATCATGAAACTGTAATTGTTTTCCTCATGAGTTTTCAGAATTACCTGTCATCTTGTTAATGTAAGTGTTTAGGGAGACTAAATTAACTTTCATCAATTGAAAGGCAAATGGATCAATCAATTTAATCAATTTATAACTCACTAAGGCCCATCAAAAGCAATTACATACAATTTCATTCATAAAAGTTCAGATCAGAATCAGTTAACATCATGAAACTGCGAAACTGTAAAGAGACTCACCTTACTGTCTTTACTCTTACATTCTGATCTATCATACCACCATTTATTTTCGAGTTTGGTCAGGTCTCCGTTCTCTTTGAGTGCTAATATCTCCAAATTTAATCGAACTCTAGAAAAGAAGGTGAAACAAAAGGATTTTTTTCAAAATTTCGATACTTTTAGAAAAGTTCAAAATACCTCAATGGTGATCCAAGAGGTGTTGCTACCCCGTATCCTTTAGCATCCAAATTACGTCCAACTTTCATAGTATCACAGGGTTTTCGTTCATTGACATAATCGTTTTGTGTTGATTCAATTAGAAAAGCATATTTTCCCTTGGACTCTCGAACCCGTCTTATTCCCTCAGAGTAAGTGTCCACAAATACATTCGGACGTTGAGTCATAAACTCCCACATACGCACATAAACAGCAATTTTAGATCGCTAGACAAATAGGAAGAGAGACAGAGAAGAAAAAAATTACTTAATAACCTTTAAGGTCTCAAGTTTCATTTCTTGGAAAAATAATTGAACATTGGAAAGGATTGTGTATCATTGAAGGTTAAAGCAAGTAGAATATTTATTTATTTCAATCCAAGACTCTTAAGGCAATGAAAAGAACGTAATTGAAATCAGAAAAATTTAGATATATAATCATTCTGAAAGCTCAGACACATTCATTCTGAACCGGAGATTGGAGCACATCCGAATTTGTATCAATAGTTGATGAATGACCTTTGAGAGCAAGTTCGAGAGAGAAATATCAAGATGGAAAAAGTTTCAACACTAAGGCATGTTTCCTTGATGAAAATACATCTACAAATGAATTGTTCATCAGAATCAAAGGCAAATAATGAATCTGGATGATGATGATGATGATGAAGACGAAAGAAAAAAAATAAGAGCTCACTATACAACAGAAAAATGCTTTTACCAGAATCAACTTGAAATCCTCATGAGGGTTTTTTTCTCCATCCTTTTTCATTTCATCCACATCATCCAGCTCTCTCTCTCTCTCTTACTCATTTTCAAGTTAGTTTAGAAGACGAAGAAGATGATGAGAAAATTGTAGATAGACTCTGAACATTTCATCTCATGAACCCAACTGACTACCACAAGATTTTCACTAATCTGCTGTTTCTTGGAAATAAATATTATCTTGATTATTTTTCTGCTATAAATATGATTAATTTTATAATGGACTTGGTTAGGAATCAATTTTGAAACATTTTGGATACGAGATTGAGGTTAAAGAATATGATCATAAGCAGATGATAATATTCTGTCATAAACAACAGAATTGTGTATATACTCAGTAAAAGTATCCAACAAAAGACGATGATGACATAAAGGGTTGGCAATGGAAAGGGAAATAATAATAAACTTTACGGTGAAATTCTGGATAATATTATTCGGAATCTTTGCCTGCAAGCATTTGGACAGAAGTGATATCATCATCATCATCATCCTCAAGAAAAAAGTACAATAAGTTTCAATTGATTCCAGTGCTTCAATTTGATCCTTCTCAAACTTATCATCTCCTCATTTTCTGACAATATGACATTTCTAATAATAAACATATCTTGAGGGTGAAATATCATCAGAGTGAATTTCCAATTTCTCCAGCTTTATGGTTGCTAAATGTTATGAAAAAAAGCTAATGAAACATTTTTATAATATTACAATTTGGTAATTGTAATAAACAGGAATTCCTTCTGACATGATTTTTAGAATTATCAATCCAATGAATGTTTCTTTTCTGATTTTAATTTAACATTGAATTCTAATGAATGTTTCATTTCTCTCAATCTGTTCATTTCATCAGAGACGTGGTTTATATCTTATCAGCGCGTGTATCAGCCTTGTATAAGTGGGATCGTTTAATGAAGTAACTCTGCTTAATGAAACGCGCCGAATGGCACCAAAATTATGATTTCGTAAATCGATTTCCATTTTTCAATTTTAAAAAATAAAAAAGTAGTAATAAAACTGCCCGGTCTGGGACAAAAAGAGCGGGAAATCACCAGAACGAGACAAAATAAATGATTGCAATTAATTATGATTGATTTTGGTAATTATCTTAATGATAACTAAATAATTAAGAGCACAAGATTGATGAACAATAAAAAATCCATTGGTTCACTAATCACTTTCAAATTCATCTGAATCGTTGATAAGACTGTCCTTCTGGATAAACATTGGAAAAGGACATGTTTCACTGAGATTATCTCAGTTTTTAGTAAAAATATTGTTTCCAATTGATTTCTTTCTCAACACTGATATAATTCGTCTAATCTTTCTAGACAAGGGAGCACCTTTTCCATTCTCAAACCTGGGGAAAGAAAACGACATAGACGAGTGTTTAGACCATTTTTTATTAATTATTCATCTTTTGATGCTCCTCTCGAAACATTCACTAGGTGGCCGCTAGGTCATTCAATAGTACCTTCGAGAATGGCTGAAGCTGGTTTCATCCACAATGGTAATTTTCTATTTTACTTTTAAGATATTCTATAAGAACCTAAATTCTATTTTTTTTCTTCAAATAAACAATAGGGTATACTGATGTTACTATTTGTTTTCATTGTGGCCACTGTATTTCTAATTGCGATGCTGATAATGACCCATGGATAGAGCATGTTAATGGATCACCACTATGTGCCTATATTTATCTAATGAGAGGGAATCAATATATCGAAGCCAGGCAAAGTTTATATATGTCTTCAAGACCATTGAATCCACCACCAAGACCTTCATCAGATTTATCGAGATATACATGTAAAGTATGTCTTGATAATGAGGTTGGTCTTGTATTCTCCCCCTGTGACCATGCTGTTGCAGGTTTTCAATGTGCTATTTCTTTAGTTTGATGCCCTTTATGTAGGTGTCCAATAATTAGGGCTGTCCGGCACATTTCATTGACTAATTATTTAACTGACATTTTTTCAACTTAAAAATCAATTTTTACTCCTACTGCCATCTAATCAATTGCTGTAATCATTCTGTTTTAACCATTTATATTTAAATTTTAATTAGAAGTGATTTAACTGTCAATTAATCAAGTGTCATATTTAATTGGTTTCAGTCTGGTGATTTTCGCGCTCTTTTTGTCCCAGACCGGGCAGTTTTATTACTACTTAAAAATAACACAAAGCAACGTAAGTATCGCGCTAAGACAAAATGAGTTAATTCAGATAACTTTTTTACAGAAAGCGAATTGAATCAGAACCCGTAAGTATAGAAATGATAAAACATCACAGACAGGCTTGAAAAATTTCTAGTTTGTCAAAAAAGCTCTTCAAATGACCTTCAAGTGCGTTTTTGGCACTTGTTATACATCATTTTTTTGTGCAAAGCAAGCAACCAGATCGTTGAAATCAAAACCGACAGTATCTGATCAACTTGACTTGCGAAAAGATTTATCTGTTTACATTTTCGGAAACAAACAAGGTGAATTTTAACCGAGACTTTTAGGATGAAAATCTTCAATGAACATGGCGTAATGAGATACGTGCAACAAATGAAATGTATTTAATACACTTTCGATTTGCAGCCATTTACAAAGAAAACTTGCATTTACTCTAACTGCTCTTTTCTATAACGACCGAGGAGAGTACAATAGAGGATGAGTGTTCCTAAAAGATCAGAATTTATTTGTTGTTGTTGTCGAAAGATGAAAGAATCCATGTCCCAACAATCTTGAGACTCCATTGTCGATTGAAACTTATTCTCTGTTGTTACATTTAAAGACGATAGCATTCATATCATCAGGATTTTGAATTATTCTTTCCACCACCACTTCTGGTAACACAATTCCGTCCGAATATCTTTTCATGAACAAATCTGCAGCTTCTCCATTGCTCATGAAGACTTTCTTCGTATAGACTTTATAATGAAGACCTCTATCAACTGACATTACCACCTCAACATTTTTCGGTCACCGCCACAAAGATGTTAGTTGTTGTTTGAAGATAGATCTATTTTCTGTTAAAACATCAACGGTTATACAGCCATAGTGACGCCTGTATGTGGTTGGTCTATACAGTAAATATGGTTCAGCATCATCTATGTTATTTTCAATTAAATACAATGTAAATTAGGATTCTATCGTGAGCTGACATGTGATTACTGTGGGATTTGATTTTTGATCGAACATATTACCAAAAATAGTGATAACTTCAGAAAACGCTTGTGTAACGTAAATTTTAGTCCCATCATTCATATCCGACTATAATCTCTCTAAGGATATATCCGTTTATAATCTTCAATAACCAATAACTAATTAAACCTTAATTGGATACTTCCTTTCATAATTAATGTATTCTTCCAAATATGACTATTACTATATTTGGACCATAATTATTAACCACAATTATTATTTTCTACTAACCGACAAAGATGACTAAATATCCGACTCACGAATCGTTTGTGACTCCCGATAATCTTGTATAAAACAAGATTATCTACACAGTGAAACTTCACTTCAATTAGAATCATCATAACATTCAAGTTAACCATTCTAATAGATTTCACTTTGTCATCACCCTTTTAATTAAGTTAACCCATTCCAATATTCTGTGTAATTCATCACAATCATTTAATCAACTATTGGACAATAAAGTTAAATTGTTTTAGTTAAAGTTATCTACACGGTATCATTTAATTCATTTATCACTCATCAAGTAACTTTTTACGTTACAATTGGTGGCAGCGGTGGGATCCGCTAAATAATCAGCATGAGTGAAACTAATCAACTTGCCTTCAGTGTAGAAGACTTCACTAGAACTCTTAATCGAAGTCTCCAAACCCCCATCCAAATTCATCCGTTTGCTGGAGCACCATTCAATAATGTTCATGAATGGTTATCCACATTCGAAAATCAAACCACACAGGCTAATTGGAGTGACGACGACCGATTTAACAAAATCAGTTGTTTCCTAGTACCAGACATACAACTCTGGCTAGAAGATATCAAGAAAAATGAAAACCGCAATGTCCGGGATTGGCAAACTTTCAAACAAGTTTTGATACAGTGTTTTCCTCCAAGAGAACACCAAGATTACAAGTTTCTCCTTTATAACACCAGACAAGGAATGAATGAAGATCCAGTTGCTTATTGTAACAAGATGTATACTTATGCGTTGAAGACGAAAACACCCTTCAGCGAATTTCTTAATGTTTGTATGAATGGATTAAACATTACCATCAGCTACGAAATTAAGGATCGTTATAATATCTTAGACCACGTCGAATTAATCACACGAATAAGAAGAGCTGAGAAAGAAGCCGAATTAAGAAAACGTGGCAGTGAATTAAGTCAAAACAAATTCCCAAGTTATCATGATGTACAGTGCTTACCCACTATAACCCCAATAACTGTTCCTCCCATCAACAAGGAAGTAACATCACCCCAACAAACAAATGAAGCACAAATAGCTCAATTA